ATATGTCCCAAAACCTAAAGTCAAACTCGGCACCACCGATTTGATTCATCCAGCACAACCGAGTTCATCGACATAGCCAATGCCACAAACTCTGATCAGTTCGGACTCACCGATGGGATCTCGGTCTCACCGAGATGGCCTTGCAAACTCACTGTTACCTATTGTAGTTATTTTGGTCTCATTGAAATGTGCAATCGGTCCCACCGAGTTTGCTTGACGAAGTCTCTATTTGCTTATTACTGAAACCGGTCTCACCGAGTTCACACAATTGGTCTCACCGAGATGAGGTTTTGCCCTAACCCTAGCACATCGTCCCACCGAGTTGACCTTGTCAGTCCCACCGAAAACGCTAGCATTCATATTTTCGACCATACCGGTCTGACCAAGTTTCACTATTCAGTCCCACCGAGTTTGGAAGATTGTGTGTAAAGGCTAGATTCTCTGTGGAGGCTATATATACCCCTCAACCCCCTTCTCCATTTGTGAGAGAGCCACCAGAACGTGCCTACATTTCCACTACTCATTTTCTGAGAGAGAACCACCTACTCATGTTTTGAGACCAAGACATTCCAATCCAACCACAAGAATCTTGATCTCTAGCCTTCCCCAAGTTGCTTTCCACTCAAATCATCTTTCCACCATAGCCAAATTTGTGAGAGAGAGTTGAGTGTTGGGGAGACTATCACTTGAAGCACAAGAGCAAATGGTTCATCATCAACACACCATCTATTACCTTTTAGAGAGTGGTGTCTCCTAGATTGGTTAGGTGTCACTTGGGAGCCTCCGTCAAGATTGTGGAGTTGAACCAAGGAGTTTGTAAGGGAAAGGAGATCGCCTACTTCGTGAAGATCTACCCAAGTGAGGCAAGTCCTTCGTGGGCGATGGCCATGGTGGGATAGACAAGGTTGCTTCTTCGTGGACCCTTCATGGGTGGAGCCCTCCATGGACTCGCGCAACCATTACCCTTCGTGGGTTGAAGTCTCCACCAACGTGGATGTACGATAGCACCACCTATCGGAACCACGCCAAAAATCTCTGAGTCTCCAATTGCGTTTGCACACTCCAATCCCATCCCCTTACTTTCTTGCAAGTTGCATGCTTTACTTTCCGCTGCTCGTATACTCTTTGCATGCTTGCTTGAATTGTATTGTGAATGCTTGAAATTATGCTAATTTCCAACCTCAACTTGAAAAACCTAAAAACTGCTATCTTTACTTGTTGCGGGTCTAATCACCCCCCTCTAGACACCTCATCTCGACCCTTTCAACTTTCAAATTTGTTTACCCATCGTGTGCATTCTTCGAGAGAGAAGCCTCTAGTGAAACCTATGGCCCCCGGGTCTATTTTCCATCATATATATTCATATCTATAAAATTAAAAACCTAAAAATACCTTGTTGTAATTTATTTATATTTACTTTATTTTGCCTTATATTTCTCTTTTATATCTATCTCTATTAGATCTCACTCTTGCAAGTTACCGTGAAGGGATTAACAGCCTCTTTTTTCGCGTTGTGTGCAAGTGTTTGTTAGTTTGTGCAGGTGCGTATATTGGGGACTTGCTTGTACCTCCTACTGGATTTATACCTTGGTTCTTAATTGAGGGAAATACTTATCTCTACTTTTCTGCATCAGTCTTTCCTCTTCAAGGGAAAAAACAATGCAAGCTCAAGAAGTAGCAGGCGCCACCCCTATTGGGCCTTTGTGGCCCAAGTGGTCTTCCACCACTTGGCCTTATTAGGCTCGTTGATATTAAATTAAATATATATTTGTTCTAAATATTTCCAAAGCATTATATACATAATTTAACATTCCGGAAACATTTTCCACCTATATATAATTAATCGATAATACTCGATATTACCCGATATTCACTGAAACCCTTCCGGTGACCCCGAAACGCTTTCGGAACCTCTCGGAACTATTCTGGATATTAATAAATAATTCCACAAATGTATTCCCATCACTCCCGTCCCACTAACACTCAGCGGATCGTGATTACTTTAAGCTTTTGACCTCGTAATTTCGGTAAACCATATACATGAACGGAACTCCTTCGTTCAATGACCCATAGCGGAACCGTGGACATCCATATCGCCCCATATGATTACATGATTGATATTTGAGTGGACCTTTGGTTATCATGTGATGTTCCCTTTGCTTCGTGATAATTTACAAATCAGTGTGCATCGGTATCCTCCCGAGTCATCACCAAGCTCACTATATCGTTGCTCCTGTTACCGGTTTTGTTCTACTTTCTCGTTGACGTGTTTTGGCATCCCCGTGATGTAGTCACCTATGTCTGGCCAACCGATGATGGATGTCATCACACCGAGAGGGCCCTAAGAATATCTCTCCATCGACGGAGGAGCAAATCCCACTCTTGAGCTATCTGGTCACTTGTCAAACTCCGGTGTGCCTGAAAGTTGTCGTTATGGTCACCTTGTTACAGATGACGTTTGAGCAACCTCAAAGCCCACCATCCGGTAGGAAGTGACTGAGACACTCTCATGGTCTGAGGAACTAAAACACATGCTAATACTCCATGCTATAACAGATGATTTCGGATGATATAGCCATATAGTAAGTGTATAACAAACTATTATTGGGCCGATTCAATATGATCACTCTTCTAACGTCATACCCTCAATGTTGTTTTAGGATTGTCGTTATAATTAACGATATCCTAATATCTGGAAAATGTGATCACCTAACAACACTTGAGCTAGTCTTAGAGGCGAGACTGGGAACCTATTGTTTACCGTTTATTATTCCACACGTGCATATGCGTTTTCCACTGAATTACATATTCCAGGATCATAGCAGTTATAGCATGGAATATAAACTCTTAACTATGAATATGGAAATACAATAATAAAATGTTATTGCCTCTAGGGCATATTTCCAACATACAATGGGGAGATGAGGTGTTACAGTGCTTCATAGAGGGGGGAGAGTTGGGGATGATGGCAGTGAAGTTGTTGGTGTAGATCGCCGTCATGATGGCTCCCCAGCAACATTCCAACGCCACCAGGAGAGAGGGGGAGAGAGCCCCCTCCTTATTCTTCTTCCTTGGCCTCCTCCCTATATGGGAGAAGGGTTTCCCCCTCTGGTCCTTGGTTGTCACGGCTCCCGGAGGGCAGAAGCCCCTCCGAGCTTGGATCTCTCTCTCTCTCTCTTCGTTTCTCTTCTGTTTCACGTTCACGTTTTCTAGCCTTCACCGTTTCATATATTCCCGAAGATCCGTAACTTCGATTGAGCTGAAATTTAAACATGATTTTTATCCGGAAATTATGGTTCTTGTAGCGAAAGAAGGGTCCCAACCACCTTAAGGGGTGGCCACAAGCTTGTCTGGCATGCCCCACGGTAGGGGCGTGCCGTCTGAGTTTGTGGAACCCTTGAGCATTATCTTGCGTTGATTCTTTTTCCCAAAAATCAAATATATTCTAAAAAAATCTCCATAAGATTTTGTCACGTTTGGACTTTGTTTGATATGGATTTTATGTGAAATAGAAAATATGCAACAAACAGGAACTGACACTAGGCACTCGATCAATATGTTAGTCCACGAAAATCATATAAATTGTTGTCAAAAATATGTGAAAGTAGTAAAATATTGGCATGAAACAATTAAAAATTATAGATATGTCAGAGATGTATCAACTATGCTCTATCAGTGCCGACGTCGCCACCGCGAATAAAGTTTACCGGGCCGCCGCCTCGACGACGTTCTTCAGCAGTGGCGAGGAGCCATGGATTTGTGTTCGAGTACCCAAGACGTCGATGGAGATCTTGCTCGGGTTCTTGTCCTTTTCGGCTTCGTCCGCGTTGCATCGGCTGCGTCTCCAGCATCGTCACGGAGCCGGAAATTTGTGTCTTGGAGTTGGCCAACGCTACAGCGCCATTTCTGGAGTTTTTCGGCGGTTCTGCCAATCGAGATCTTCAAGACCGTGATCCAAGATGTGTAGAGTATTTCTTCGGCCAACGACCCACGTCAACATGTGCGTCGCCACTTGTGGCCGCGCCTGTTCAGAGACTCATGACGCAGCTTGGCTACTATGGCACTATCTTGAATCTTGGCAAGTTAGGCCTATGCTTCTCTCCTCCGACGAACACTTCGGCGGCGGCTGGATTCTTTGGCGATTGTGATGTAAATTTCTTTGTGTGCTATCTCTTCGGACTGTTCCAGAGAGAAGCCATGTATGTTGTATGTTGCTACTATTATGAAATGAACGAATACATGGTTCTCCTGAAAAAAACTAACCGATAGAGTCTGCAGCCAAAGCCCGACAAGAAGAAGAAAAGCCTAGCATTTCGGCCCATTGGACAATTATAACA